ACTGGGATAAGGTTCATAAATTATGAAAAAGGTATCTCCTTATCGTACAACTGAAAGTTGCTGATGGCTTGCGTCATCTATCAGAATAAATATCAACTATTCTCGTTGATTTCTAATTATTCCAGAATTGGCCAAGAATGGGTAATTGCAACTTTCAGTTGCACAATAAGGAGGTGCCTTTTTCATAATCTAAGGTTTATGTTTCAAAATAATATTGGGGGAAAAAAGCATTTAAAAAAAAAATAGCCAAAAAATCCATTTCCTTCTATAACAGCAGAACATTATTTGTGATCGGAGATTCTGTCTAAAGTTAATATGTGAAAGGGAACTTCTTTTGCATATAATTGGATCAAATCATCTTACTCTGGAGGCTCTGCTGTCTAGGATGACAAAGAATAAATCCAATACATTGGTCCTGTACAAGTTATCAGGACTGCGCAAGAGAAGATACATTGAGAAAAAAGAGCCATATGTAAATGGATATTAAAATAAACAATCAACTATAAATAATTAACTTATCTTTTGTAAACATTTATGCATCTGGGTGAATCCTGTGTAAGGCATAGGTCTACAATAAAAGGCTTGTTGTTGTTATGCATTTAAAAACTATAATATTTCTCACAATGATAAATCACAATTTGTATTATAGATAATAATACAAGAAAATAAGACCTAATACAAATAATATATTAGTGTGTGACGTTTCGGCAACACTTGATAACAGTACTATTTAAGAACTTGCTGTGATATATATTTTTTTATTTATTCTTTTGTCTGATGATGGTGACAATGCTGTTGCCGTCACACACTAATAAATTATTTGGATTAGGTCTTATTTTCTTGTATTATTTCTCACAATGAGAGAGTTTCTTTGTGTTTCATGTTGAGAAATATATTTGTTGGTTTTTTTAACTCTAAGGTTTACCTCATCCACATCCCTATTAGAGATATATAAATGAACCTGTAAATGATCAACTCATCTTTTCTAAGCAATTCTACACCTGGGTGAATCCTGTGTGGGACATAGGTCCCAATAAAAAGGCTTGTTATACTAAAGATAGAGGCTGTCTAGCCGGCATTCATAGTTCTTAAAATTAAAGATACTTCGGCCAGTAAATCTTTTTATTATCTCGACATTTCGATAAAAATTGAAACATTCGGCAAAGCGTTAATATTTTAATTTTTGTTTGCTCCTGACGAGGACAATAGATTTTTTGTCAAAACATCAAGATTTATACTGGCTGAAGTATCTTTAATTTTAAGGCTTTTTGTACATTTAAAAACTACAAATATTTCTCACAAATGAGTTTCATGGTGAGAGAGAAACATTTGTAGAGATTTCAGCTCATCCTTATTACAGGATATGTAAATAACAATATATGTATGTAAATAACTACCTCATCTTTTCTAGGCAATTTATACACCTGGGTGAATCCTGTGTAGGACATAGGTCCCAAAGTTTTGATGTCATTTAAAAAATATAGATATTTCTCACAAATAAGTTTCTTTGTGTTTCATGAAGAGACAGGCCTGGCTGATAGTACCCTGTAAGGGCTCCTAATTCAGGGATACAGGATGAGCAGCGTTTGTACTCCATGTTAGGAGCGGCTGCACATGGCATCTGTTCTTCATATCGGAGGCGGCCATTTCTTATGGAGTTAAGTCAGCCTGCCACTGAGTAGTGCTCCCAGTCTTAATGACAAAGGCATTCTACTTCTCCCAGTACCCTGATATGTTTGAGTGGAGATGAAGATGAAGAGAGAAACATTTGTGTACAGGTTTTTACCTCGTGCACGTCCCTATTCTTCAAGCGGGCCCTCTCCAGGTTCTTGTTGGCTTCCTCGTAGAGGTGAAGAGACTTAATGCGGCGGTAGAGTAGATCCTTGGCAGCTGCGGAGTCCTTCATGTAGTACCGCAGGGTGTCTACCATCTTGAGGTCTTCGTCAGACGCCACGCGTCCCTCCAGCTTCTGCTCTCACCAGCTCAGCTCAGCACACTACAGATTCCAGCAATACCAAGGCCAACTTACCCGAGCTTTCTCTAGGGTGTCCGACACCTTGGCAAAGAACCTAGAACCACCGCATTCATCAGGGACTTTGTGAAGGTTTACTTAAAACTAGGGCAAAAATCTCAGAATAAAATAAGTTTATTGATTGAAAGAAAACAAATCAAGCAAAAGAGACAATTCTGAGCCTACATTTTGGATCAAAACTGGTTACTCAAAAGATTTTTAAAATCCATCTTTGATCATTTTTTCCTACTTACTCAAGGATAAAAATAAAAATAAAAAACACACAATTGAAGAGTCACTTAAAACTAGGCAAAAATCTCAGACTAAAATAAGTTTACTGGCTGAAAGAAAATAAATCAAGCAAGTGATACATTTCTAAGCCTACATTTTGGATCAAAACTGGTTACTAAAAGATTTTTAAAAATCCAACTTTGATATCATATTTTCCTAGTGAAAAAAAAAACAAAATTGAAGAGTTACTTAAAATTAGGGCAAAAAATCTCAGAATAAAATGAGTTCAGTCAGTAAATGACTAAAGGAAAATAAATCAAGCAAGAGACATTTCTGAGCCTACATTTTGGATCAAAACTGGTTACTAAAATTTTTTTTAAATCCAACTTTGTATCATTTTGTTCTACTTACTCAAGGAAAATAAACCCCACAATTAAAGGGTCACTTAAAACTAGGGCAAAAATCTCAGAATAAAATAAGTTTACTGATTGAAAGAAAATAAATCAGGCAAAGACATTTCTGAGCCTACATTTTGGATCAAAACTGGTTACTAAAAGATTTTTTAAAATCCAACTTTGATATCATATTTTCCTACTTACTCAAGTGGAAAAAAAAAAAAAATTGAAGAGTTACTTAAAATTAGGGCAAAAAATCTCAGAATAAAATAAGTTCAGTCAGTAAATGACTGAAGGAAAATAAATCAAGCAAGAGACATTTCTGAGCCTACATTTTGGATCAAAACTGGTTACTCAAAAGATATTTTTAAAATCCAACTTTGATCATTTTGTCCTACTTACTCAAGAAAAAAAAAAACCACAATTGAAGGTTTGCTTAAAACTAGGGCAAAATCTCGGAGAAGTTTAGTTTACTGACTGAAAAAATAATAATAAATTAAGCAAGCGATACATTTTTGAGCCTATATGTTGGATCAAAGCTGGTTGCTAAAAGATATTTTTAAAATCCAACTTTGATCATTCTGTCCTACTTACTCAAGGAAAAAAAACCCATAATTGAAGAGTTACTTAAAACTAGGGCAAAAATCTCAGAATAAGTCACAGAGTTTGTCTTATTGACAGAAAGAAAATAAATCAAGCAAAAGTAACAATTCTGAGCCTACATTTTGGATTAAAACTGGTTGCTAAAAGATTGAGTAATAAGTCACAATTTTGATTATAGATTATAAACACAAGGTAATAAGACCTAATCTAAATAAATTCAAAATAAATGTTCTACAATTAACAGAATGGAAAAAAGATGAAATATCAATGATATTTGTAGATATGCTTTTAATTATATCTAAAAAAAAAAAGTGGGTTTTTTTTCCCACTTTCAATTCTAAGAATAATATTCTGTGTTTCTCAGGAAACTATCTTTTCTTATCTGCTATCTTGTTTACACACTTGATAACACTAACTATTTAAAACATGCTGATTTTTTTTTTCCTCATTCAGCACCCTTGCGCTGTTACCAAAACGTCACACACAATTTATTTATTTGGATTTGGTCTTATTACCTTGTGTTTGAAAAGATTGAGTGTTTATATCCAAATTTTATCTTTTTTTACCTTGGCCTTAAGGTGAAAACATTTGGGGATCCTGGGATGTCACTTTTGAACTTATTGATTCATCCATTGATGAGCTCTACTCTTCCCCGGCAGACACCATCAACAAGCTCTAGAAACTTGATACCTTAGTGCGATTGAGTGGATATAAGAAAGAAGACTTTTTAACGTTTTGTTATTATGACAAGTCACTACCTTTCTGGGCTTAGAGTACTTCTATGGTAGAACAGCTATCTTAGCCTGTATTGAATCTTCCATATTAGACTTCAACCCAAGGTGGCACGCATAAGCAATGAGTTATGATATTAATTTTAAACTTGCATATTTGATTGACTGTATGATAAGGTACACACACAATTAGGATTATAGATCATAATAAAAAGGTAACAAGACCAAATCCAAATTATTGAAATGTTTTTCATTTTGGTAACAGCATTGCTACAGCTAAGTACAGTAGAACCTCCCTGTAAAGGACAACACCTAATTGCAGAGTCAAAGTGTCCTTTAGAGAAAGTTGTCCTCTTACTGGAGAGTTGCTAAATAGTAAAAATGATAATTTTGCAAAAATGAAAACTGTCCTTTGTAGAGAGATGTCCTCTAGAGTGAGTATCCTCTCATGGAGGTTGTTCTACTGTACTAAATGAGGAAAAAGAGTATTCATTTCATTCATTCTGTGTGTAACCCCTACTCCTGGAGCATAAGAAAGTCCCCAACTGTCCAGGAGCATATCAGAGCATGCCTTAAATAGCTGGTACTGTTATCAATTGTGCAAACAAGATAACTGAAGACCATTGAAGATTGAAACTAACAACAAAATCTACCCTACAAAATGTAGTTTAGCACCTGCAGCTGCAGAACACATTTTGGCTTTCACTAGATACACTAAACAGGACCTTTGGGAAAGGCCACCATCAACAAGCTCTACAAGCTTGATAGCATAATATATATTTTTTTTTTTTGCTTATCCCTAGTACACGTGGTACAGGCCATGATAATCATGGTGGGTAGTTAGCGACTGCTTTTTACTGTAAGCGCACCACATGTCTACACATGTGAAAGCAGTTCGACTTTGCACTTACAAATGTGCCAGAGCCCCGTTTGGTTACTTGCACTCGCTGGTGGGGTTGGACTTTTTGCAAGAATCAGGGGCCATTGGAGCATTTTTTTTTTTTTTTTTTTTTTTTAAACAGAAAAAAGTGTCCAATGCGGGGATCGAACCCGGGTCGTAGTGGTCGTAAACCAAACGGTTTAACCAGAAGAGACTCATCCCAAGGAAAGACACCATCAACAAGCTCTACAGGCTTGAAAACCTAATATGATTGAGTGGAGATAAGAAAGAAGACACATCCCCAGCACAAACACAATCAACAAGCTCTACAGGCTTGATACCCTGATATGATTGAGTGGAGATAAGAAAGAAGAGACTCATCCCATGGAAAGACACCATCAACAAGCTCTACAAGCTTGAAACCCTAATATGGTTGAGTGGAGATAAGAAAGAAGAAGACACATCCCCAGCAGACACCATCAACAAGCTCTACAGGCTTGATACCCTAATATGATTGAAATAGGAAAAAGAAGACACATACACAGCAGACACCATCAACAAACTCTACAGACTTGATACCGATATGATTGAGTGGAGATAAGAAAGAAGAGACTCATTCCAAGGAAAGACACCATCAACAAACTCTACAGACTTGATACCCTGATATGATTATAGGGAGATTAAAAAAAGTAGAAAGAGAGATGGGAAATAAGAAAGAACCAGTGTCACTGAGGTACAGTACTTCTCCAGGGCAGGGTCCAGGGTTCCTAGCTGCAGCAGGGCCAAAGACACCTGGATGTAGCAGTCCGCTAGAGACTTGTGGCTCCGGGTCATCCGGTCTCCTCTCTGGGTGGCCTCCCGAACATGGTTGTGGTACTGGACCAGGAAGGTTCTGTCGTGTTCGAAGAACTCATCAACATCCTGCAACACAAGTTGTTATTAACAGTTGGGGAATGTAGAAACTTTTTCGGGAGTCAAGTGAAGGGTGGTCTAAATTGTTGTTTTTCGACCCCAGGATCGAATCCAGGATTGAGGACTTTTTTCTAATTAATTAAAAAAAATGCTTCAATGGCCCTCGATTCTTGCCAAGTCCAACCCCACCAGCGAGTGCAAGTAACCAAATGAGGCTCTGACATATTTGTAAGTGCAAAAGTCGAACTGCTTTTCACATGTGTAGACATGTGGTGTACTTACAGTAAAAGTAGTCGCCTACTTCTACCAACCATGATTATCATGGCTGTACCACGTGTACTATGGATAAGCAAAAAAAAAACATATTGCATTGGAATAAATATCAAGTAACTGTTGATTCTTTCACTTCTCTCTTTTTGGATATTGGTCAATACATTTTCCTTCTTTTTTTATATAGTTTTAGTGTTTCCACACACTTTTAACTTTAAATTTTGCTTCCTTTATTTTTCAGAAAGCTTCTAGGGTCAGCTTTTTGTTGCTCAATGAAGTAGTCTTGCATCCCACCGATGAGTGCCAACAGTCAATGTGGTTGGTGTTTCTTGATTTAACAAGAGGGTTTCTGGACAATATTTATTCTGTAATTAAACAAAAATAAATCATTTATTCCTATAGATGGCACAAGTCATCAACAACTCTCAACAGACATTTTTTTTCCCTAATTTGACCAACTGATCTTGTATAATTTCCCTTTGTTCTTTTTTAGTTAGTTTATACACACACACTTAGCCTGACCTCCGCACACTGAACATGTTAATTTCATTATAAATTCCCAGATCACTAGACTCAGAATTACATGACCACACAGAGTTGTAAATTCCCAGATCACAAGACTCCTAGTTCTACCACGGCATCACAGAACATAAAAGAGGAATACCTTGACAGTGGAAGACAGAAGGAGGTCATCTGCAGACTTGCTGATATTGGACCAGAGACTGGCCAAACGTTCTTTCTTGTTCTTGCCGCGAACATTGAGCTGTCAACCAACCACAGGACTCAGTCAGCTATGTCCATCCATCCAGACATGTCAACCTACCTCTTGGTCATACTCCAGGAAGATGATAAAGTTGGGATCTGTGCGGAAGACTGGGTGACAAGCCAGCCGTTGCAGGAAGACCTCGTGCATGGCCACAGTCTTCTTAAAGGTGGCCAGGTATTCTCTGCACACACACCAGGGAGGTTACAACATATCTCTATATATATATATACAATGAAAGGATTTAAAAGCACTAATGTTTCTTTTATACATAATACAAACATCTTCTGCCCTTACTGCGATGATAAGATATATTGGGAGGGCTTGGCTCATCAGTGGTGAACTCTCCCAGCGGTTTCGCCAATTTAATCCACCAGACCGTTTCTCAGAGTTCTAATACTGTATTGGACGATTCTGCTTATATACACAGCACTGAAGGATGGAATCTCAGAAATGGTTTCCAAGTGTAAGTGTAGGTTGGCTGAGAGATAAGCCATTGCTAATGGTAGTGCTTGTTTTCTGTTGTCGTCACAACAGTTTTTGGAGGTTAGATACATCTAGATTTCTCAATACCTCTTTAGGGTATTCAGGAAGATCTCCTTTCTTTTTGATTTGATGCAGTCGTGGATGGGTTGTGGTGAGGCTGAGTTTATGAGGAATTTTAAGGCAGAGAGAGAGAGTGTGGCAAAGTTTTCTCGCCTCTCAAATGTCAAGAAGGGTTTCAAATGGTCTGTTCTAAATCTTGTAAACCTTGTGTAAACACTGCATGAGAGAATAAACTCAAAAGTTGCTATGGTTTCTTGATGCTGAACCAATGGTGTCCAACACAATAGAGTGAACTGTGACTATAACAAACCATGGCTATGGTAAACCAAAGGTTGTCCCATTGGGGTTCGCTATAGATGGATTTTACTGTATTTATAACAAATACTTCTTTAAAATTAGTGTACATTTATGGCACAAAATTTTCTTTCCAGAAAAATAATTTCCTTGACTTTTCTTTGAAGGAAAAACTATTGGAAGAGTCTGGCTCACATTGGTGAACCCTTCCAGCAGTTTCACCACTGATAATTTTTTTACAACATAAAAAAAAAAAAAGAAAGGACAGTAGGAAGAAATTTTATAGAAAGAAAGAAAAAAATATCAATTCAAATCTAGCTCTTAGAGGGCCTGACAATGTGAAACCTATACCGGTTTCTACTGGGAATACAGACACTCATCCCTAATCAGTACTAAAGAGGAGGAGGGGGAGCAGTAACAAGCTCACTAAAAAAACCTGGGCTTAGCTGGCCCGGCTGATAGTACCTTGTAAGGGTTCCTAATCCAGGGATACAGGATGATCTGTACTCCATGTTAGGGGTGGCTGCACATGGTGTCTGTTCCTCATATCAGAGGCAACCATTTCTTTTGGAGATAAGTCGGCCTGCTACTGAGTAGTGCTCCCAGTCTTAATGACAAAGGCAAACGCATTCTACTTCACTCAGCCATGATGGTTGTCAAATTACCCTAATTTGATGGAGTGGAGATAAGAAAGAAGAATAAAAAGAGTACTTGTAATAAAGATCCCATTCCATTTTAGCTGATAATTTATATTGTAGCGTAGAAATCAAGTCTTGGAATATCTTAAGATGTGAAAGTATTTATTGATGTGACGTCAGTACGACTAGTCGACAATTTAATGACAAACCAAAGATACTATACATACAGCTAGAGAATATTGAACAAGCAAGCAAAGGACCATGTATGATGATTTCACAATTTCTTTGTAATATTCTGTGTTAAATGTTTTCATTGAATAATTAAATTAATAAAATATAAATTATTTCTTCGCTACAATATAGACCTGTTTATATACCCATTGTTTAGACTTGGAAAAAAAATTTTTTTTTCTTTGTATGTACAGTAGAATCTCCATGAGCGGACACTCCAGCTAAAGGACACCTCTCTATAAAGGACAAGTTTTCATTGTCCAAATTACCATTTTTACTATGTAACAACTCTCTGGTAAGAAGACACCTCTTCATAAAGGACACTTTGGCTCTGCAACTAGGTGTTGTCCTTTACAGGGAGGTTTTACTGTATATGAATATATATATACTAGACGAATGACCCGGGCAACGCCCGGGTTTACACGATTAAATGTATTATTCAAACACATAAAACATAGCAAATATAGCAAGAGCAGTTATTTTAAATGCTGAATTAGATCAGTTATAGCAAAAAATTAAAATATATACCTGCCGGCGGCACGCGCCCGTTGGCTGCCGGCGAGCACGTGACTTCCCTGTCTGAGAGGGCCCACGCGACCGCCCGCCATTCGCACGCACAGGGAAGTCACGTGCTCGCCGGCAGCCAACGGGCAGGACGCCTGAGTGTTCTAGAGGGCGCTGCTCGTGAGCTAAGTAGAATAATTTGAATATATAGTTTTAATAAATGATTTATATATATTTTAAAATAGCCTATGTTCATCCCCGTTATTTTTTACCTATGTATGGAAATTTTGGTTTGATTTAGTGAACTACTGCGAATTTGTATACCGGACATACAAACCAACAAACAGACAAACATTCATTTTTATATAGAGAGATGTCCTCTAGCGTGAGTGTCCTCTCATGGAGGTTCTACTGTATTGGTGAAGAAAACTGTCCTTTATAGAGAGGTGTCCTCTAGCGTGAGTGTCCTCTCATGGAGGTTCTACTGTATTGGTGAAGAAAACTGTCCTTTATAGAGAGGTGTTCGATTCCCATCCCTTGACACTTTTTTTATTTTATCCATTCTGACCAAAATCTATCCGTGAACTTCAGACAGTGAACTTCACACAGACAGAATAAGGCAATTATATAAGTAGATATTTATTTTATTTTTATTTTTTACTTATCCTTTTAGTCTAAATTAGACAAGATCTTGGAGGTCGTGCTCGTAAAGAAGCTCAAGAACTCTGTGCACGACTCCATATAGGTTATATGCCAGTTACGTTAGAGCGCTGGTTTTATCCAACATTTCCCCGAGGTCACCTACAGAGAGGTGTAACTTGGACTTTGACCTGGTATTAAATGGCCGCCTCTAACATGAGGAACAGACGCCCTGTGCAGCCGCTCCTAACATGGAGAACAGACCGTGCTGAATATCCTGTAACCCAAGAATAGGAGCCCTTACAGGGTGCTATCAGTCGGGCCAACTGAACCCAGGTTTTTTAGCGAGCTTGTTACTGCTCCCCCTCCTCCTTTTACATCCGGGCTTGGGACCGGCATATGAATTTATTAATGCAATAGAGAGAGATTTTATTA